TTTTGCAATTTTACAACTTAACCTCAAACTTTAAACTACATTTTTTCGTTCAATTTTTCAATAAATATACGAATATCAAAAAAATATTATGGAAATTGTATATAAAATTATGTTTCCTATATTTATTAAATAATTTTGAAGATAAAAGAGAATTACCTTTGATTAATATCACTTTTTTTTTGTTAACGATAAAGAGAAACGTGACTATTCCAGTCTTGCCCAGTCTGTTCTTTCTAGCATCTAGCTGCAAGATGAAAGATGAAGTGCAAGTATTGCAACTAAAAGGAACAGACCATCGGCTCGGAATCGGGTCGAGTCAGCAAATCATATACGCTATTAGTCGGCAAATAGTCATTTATGCTGTGTGGGAAATTATTAATGCAAATGCCAAGCACGCAGTCAATCATCGAAACAATGAACACTGAGAATATTATACATTATATCGAAAATATTATTTCTTATTATCGGAAAATTATTCTACACTGCGCATGCATATTATACTGTAATAATACTAAATATTATAATGTAATAATACTGTAATAATAATACAGTAATTATACTAAAATCAAGCTAAAAGTGAATTTTTTTCGAATCCATTACAAAACAAAATAGAGACTTCTTTAAGTCTACTTTAATTTAATTTCAAAAGAAATCAAAAGATATACTTTTATGGAATCCTTTTCTAACTATCATAAAGGAATTCTTTTTTAGTTCATTTCGAACAGATTACGCGAATTCGAACCCTGGTGAAAATAAAATGTAAAACAAGCGTTAACAAAGCGTAAATTGGAGAGTAAATCTAATGTAAAGGGAGAGTGATGGAAGCGTAAACGATATATCAAATAAGCGAAAATTGAGACATCGGGACGTAAAGAAAGTGGTTATTAAGCGTTAAAAAAGCGTTAACAAAGTATCATTAAACTCTTCGACAAGCGTGAACAAAACATTCTCGAATGTAAACGGAGCGTTATCGAGCTCCTGAGGAAGTGTTAACAAAGGGTCATCGAGGTCCTCGGCAGGTTCTTAGCAAATGTGAACGAAAAATAATGAAGCGTTATTGAAGCGTTATTGAAACGTTATTGAAAAGTAAAAAGGCTCATCTATATAAGATGCAGGACGCGGGTTGCAGATCGCAAGATTAGACGCAGTGACGTATTTTCGGTAGTTTACAGTCGCAGGCTTCAATACGCAGGACGCAGAGAAGTTTTGAGGTTCCCAATTTGCTGCGTCTAATCTTGCGATTTGCGATCCGCGTCTGCTTCTTATACAGATGAGCCTTAAAAAATTAAAGTAAATAAATAATAATAAATAAAAATATTTTTATTTTTATTGTTTTATATTTTATTTTTTTTTTACAATATTTGTAAAATATTTTATTAATATATATATTTTAGTTAGAATCAGAGACCGAACCGGAACCGGAAAAAAAGTAAAAAAATACTGCAAATAATATTTAACTGATAAAAAAAATAATCAACTGCAGAAAACATTTTGTGTTTGTTTATTTACTACAAAACGATTACGGTTCTGAGTAATTCCGGTCCGAGTCTGATTATATTTAAGATATTTAAGATGTCTTGATGTGTGTTCATATATGATTATGTATCTGAAAAAGAAAAGAACGAGCAATTAATCAAAGAATCAAACTATAAATATTAAAAAAAAGTACAAACAAGTTTATTATGTTTAAATTATTATTACTTTCAATTAAATCGATATCTTGAAATTTGGCGAAGTTTGATTTTTTGTTCTTAAATACCAATGGCTTCTGTAAAACAGTTGAAGTTACAGATGTAACAGTTGAAACTATTAATGGATCTGCTACTGTTGCCTCCTTTTCTGTCTTAAATAAAGTAAACAAAAAATTTTTTATTTATATTTTATGGAAATAAATAATTACACAATTTCTGGTCATTATTATGAAATAATTACCAAAAATTGTATTGCTTTTTTTTTAATTTTTAGTAAAATCTGAAATTTTAATTGACCTCTGCGATATATTTTTATATTTATATTTCTTCGAGTGTTTTGCACGAGAGGATGTACTTCTTTCTCCTCCAAGATCTAGCGCTCGATCTGAGAGATAAGCTGGCAGTGATTTGATCATTTGATCAATGTCACCTTCATAATTATCATTTTTTAATCGCTCTCTGAACAAGTCTATAAAATAAAAAACAAGAAATAAATTATAATAACGATAATAATAAGAAAAGATAGTATTTCTTTCATAACAATTGAATATTTACTTTGAGCTAGCATCAGGAATCCAAGTGGAAATTTTTTTAATCCTTCTTTTCTAGGATAAATCCTCATTAATTTAGCATCTTCGCCGAAAACTCCAATAAGAAGGACTGCAGCCCAGTCGCAATCATTTTTTGCTGCTTTCATAGCTGCGAAACCTGCATTTGTGCAATAGAAACCACTGCCAAGATGAACCTGATAAAATAAATAATTAGTTGCAAAAATGTTTTATAAAAAACTACTACAAAAAATTAACTTACCTTATTTTCTATTTCTGAAGACATACTGCTGGTGCTGAGTCTATCTCCAAAGTTGCATATCTTTTCTGTAAAATTATAATCAATTTTATATTTATTTATTATAACAATTAGTGTTAAAACAATGCCTATGAATAAATTATGTACGATTAAGCTAAAAGCAATTTGTGAATATCCTAGAAAGATGGATTATTTTTCAGAAACTGACGTATCAATATTACCAAAAAAAAAAAATTGCTTGGATTTATGAACTTCTTATAATGGATGCATTTAGTGTGACAACAGCTCATTGAAAGCATACTGAACAGCTGTTCGTGATTAGTATATGATTTTAGATTTTAGACTTTAAATTAATTACAAACAATTGTTCACTAAAAGTGCTCAATAGAGCTTGCTAAATGTATTCTAATCTAGAATAAATAGAAATGCTCGTTTCTTCAGCAATGCTAAATATTTGTAATTGCTTTTTGCTTTTAACTAGAGGCTGGTTCCGATATTCACTGCAAGTCTACGTTACGTATACTATAGATTTTCAGTACTTGCAGTTGTTTGCAGTGAATATCGGA